AACTTTGAATCAATCTGACTGGATGATCTGGTGAACTGGAAAGTGACCTGAGATGACATGATGTGAATTGGAGCTATAGAAATAAACGGAATAGAATTGAAACCTATACTGGAACATTTTTATTCAAAAGCTGGTTTTAGATTTGAGATTTAACTCTTTTGTACCAAGGTTCATTTTCCTTCTCAAACATTAAGCTCCTGCTTTGGTTGTTTGCATCCTGTGTAGCTATTTTTAACACTGTGCTTTTGCTTTATGTACTACAGTGAAGTGTGGTTTGCTGTAGATGTAGCAAAAACAAATAGATTTAAATGTTTGTGTTTAAGACAGGAAAAGTGCAGATAATCTTACCTCAAGTTCAATGAAGCTGTACTGTTGGACAAAGGAGGAAAAAAAGAAACTGTTTCAAATTTTAAAAAATAAACAACATGATAAGTTGCTTTTTCATTATGATATTTAATCTAAATGCTTTAAAGGGATTACTTTATACTTACTGTGTATATTATGCAGAAAACATTAAGAAATAATAATGAAATGTGTATAGGGCCCCTAAGAGGGCGTGGGCCCATACCCAATTGTAGTCTATGACATCTCTTCGCAGATGTAATGATTCGAAAAAATCCTACTTGAACCCACCTGATACTTAAGTGAGTGACCGCACTGGACCGTATTTATACAGCAACACATGCCAGATTTCAACAGCATGGTGAGCCGTTTAAACACGACACCATCCTGTTTTAATTACTATATTAGTAACTGTGTATAGTTCATTAGATGGTTGGTAAAAAAATACACTCCTATAATATGCTTCAAACCGCGATAAAGATCTTAAAAGAACAATGTACTTGAGTATTTTATTTTTTTTACACTGCACCTTGGAATTATGGGTAACCCAGAGCGTAGATAAGCGTCTCCCTGAAATGACTTTTAGGAAGTTGGGATGTCTGTAACGTGGTGGTGCGCTGCCACCATGAATTGTGAGGTGTCATCATATATTACTAAGAATTTCGTAATTGTGTCTTCTTGGCCGATTTATTAAACTGTATGGGGCCCACCCAGATAATGTTGCTCATGGGCTTATTGTTGGGTCGTTACACCATTACCATAACATCAGTCAAGCATCCTGTTTGGGTTTTTTTTAGACCACAAAGGAATCTGTGTAGTTGTTGAAAGGAAGAGCAACATTTGGCCACTTACCAGCTGATTAATTGGTCTTAACTTTGAATCCATTGAGACCACTCTGAACTGAACTATGGGAAGATTATATGAAGGTTTTAGACAGACTGTGATTAAACAAAGTATTTATATAATCTGAAATCATCATTAAAGGTTTGTCAAAGAGAACATTGACTGAGTTACCTGTCTGTCCAGGGAGGTAGATGGGTTTGTCAGTTTGAATCAGGTGTACTGGTCGGTAGACTTTGATCATGACTTTTCTGACTTCTTTAGAGTTAAACGTGTTTCCTCGTACCTCCACCTCAAACATGGCCACCTTTTCA